TAGGTGCATTCAACCAGGGCCCAAAATTGGTTTTGGCCCACCCTGTCAAATCAGAGTTCCAGGGTGGGCCAACCCTGACTCCTAGGGTAAACAATCTCGTACCCTGATAGAAACAGGGTAAAAGAAAACTTATCCTGATTACATTGCCAATAAATTATAAAAACACTGGACGGTTGCGAGCTGAAGTGTTTCACAGGGTTAGGGGGTATCCAGCTCGTACATTTACTGTTCGTAAAGCCCTACAGTTACCACATTTTGCGTTGTAACACTGAATTTTACAAAAATTCCGGACGCGTGTGGCTCCCGTTCACGTTACGGCACACCCCCTGCACGTACCTCGAATCGTGTGACGCACGTAACTGGAATCAGCGTGCGCATCGAGCCTAGGTACAGCACCGCGTCCTGCCCTCACGATTTCGCCAGTCCCGCCTGACGCTCGCCAAAACCACCTGCGCTCTGGCCTTCGACATTGCATGACATCTCAAATTTAGAAGCGCACCATAAATCCAGATTCGCCAACACAGCAAAAAACCAACTCGTCAAGCATGTTGCCCACATTCAGCGCAAATCTTGCAATCGCCATGTGCGGGCTTGCAGGCTGGAATGCCCTCCTCCAATTTTGATTGTTTGATTGGTGCGTATGGGAGGGCTGGAATGCCCTCCAGGTGTTTTTTGTGCGTGCGGTTCGTTCAGCAGAGGAGCTGTTGACTTCGCGAATTTTGTGCGTATGGGAGGGCTGGAATGCCCTCCAGGTGTTTTTTGTGTGTGCGGTTCGTTCAGCAGAGGAGGTGTTGACTGGGCGAAATTTGGTTGACGAGGGAACAGGTTACCTCGGTTTCCACCCAGCCGTGACACTGTTGAACTCTTTGTGGGGGGAATGTGTCCGCGCACTAGAATTGACAGAAAGGGTAGACTCGAAACAGGGCGCATTTGTTTTTAGGTACACTGATCAGTTTTGAACCACGGATCGTGAGGGGGTACTAAATTTCCCGAAATGAACGAGCTGGACACCCCCTTAGAGGTAATGCTGCGATTGGAAAGGACCTGAGTTCGATGCTCGTAACGGGAATTTTACCTAATGCAACACTCGCTGGCGCCGTTTTGCGCAACATCCACCGTATCCTCGCTACGAAAGACTCGGTATCAGTGTAGCAGGTTCAAAACACTGATGAAAGTCAGGGGAAACAATCTATAACTCGGATTTCATAAGGGTACAAAAAATCAAACTCTTTATGAGTCAGGGTAAGAAATCCGGGAGGCTGACTGGGTCAGGGTAACCCCAAAAAAAGCGGCCGCCAGTCAGGGCAATCAGGGTATTTTACCCTGACATTTTGGGGCCTGCATTCAACCAATTGCACTATCCTACACCTCACATGTTTTTTCGCACCTGCGTGTGGCACCAACATCACACCCCCCCCCTCTGTTGCAGGAAATTGAGCGGCTCTCCGGCGCATTCTCTCGGCTGAAGCACCATGAGAGCGCATCAGCACACCAATCCTCGCATGCCGCCCGCATGCACTCTGACTTCTGACTCGCCTCCTGCAACACTGTCCTGTCAAGCCTCTGTTGCAGTTAGAAGCTTAGTAGCCTCCCTCAGTGGCCTCTCTGATACCGTACTCTAATTTTCCAGTCAGATGTAGTGCATTGCTGTGGTGTGGTTTTTCTTCCAAAGAGGCAAAACCAATCTAAGTCATTTGATATATGGAGAATCATTGTGTGCAGTCCAATGATGCAGTGCAGTTTTTAGCGAAGTCATCGCTCGATGGTAAGGCGGAAGCGCATGTCAGAAATGTTCGAAATCATGCCTTAGCAAACCACCTTGAAAACTAGCGAGGGTGACGGATCCGAGTGGACACCAACCAGAGGGGGAATATGCGAACTCACCTAGTGACATTCGTGAACGTTTGCTACAGAGGGAAGTGCAAGAACCGCTGTGCACCGTCTGGAATCATCTTGCGCCACGACGGATGAACTGAAAATGAACGTACTGAACGTGACGGAGAACTGATGTGCACCGTCTGGAATCGTCTTGCGTCAATTGATTGCCCCTGATTGCCTGAAATTGACCTCTAATAATTGCTCGAGTGGCCACGCCATAGGATTCCCTCTGGTTTGTTTTTACCTGGCACATTACCCTACAAGGGTTTGTATCCCCAAATGTCAAATTATATATTTGTTACATATGTGTAGGCTGTATTGGGGTAGCTAATATGGGGTATAGCCCCTTTAGGGTTTTCATACTTGTACCAAACTTTGACCTAGTTCATCCATTCCTGCTAGTTGTTTCTGACATGGTATTCAGACCAGTAGGTCCGTAGGACCGATTTTTTTTAGGGCCCACCTACCGTTGCGGTTACTGAGCTACCCCACGTCTGCGCTGCGCCGCCCGTGTGAAAGTTTAAAAGGAAGAAGAGGTTGCACTAACAAGAATGAGGATACAAATAGCAAACCCTAGAATGGTTGTACTCGCTATAGAGCACCCCACTACAGGCTAGAGCATAATATTCTGACACACCCCCATAGCCAAAGTGGGGTGTAATCAGCAGAGCAAGCAAAGCAGTACAAGCTCAGGGTGGATCACAATGTCACCACACATTCTGAGCACAAGTTCAAGAAGCCATAGTTTAAAGTTCACAACTATGAGCAAAGCTAGTGGTAGTCACAACGGGCAAGTGAGGAGGAGGAAAGAGACTATGAGAGGAGAGGAGGTAGTGGGCGGCAGCTGAAGCTGCTGGCACACGGCGCAACTGGAGCAACTGGCACACGGGCAACTGGAGCAACTGGCACACTGGCAACTGGAGCAACTGGCACACGGGCTACTGGAGTAACTGGCTCCGCGGCTAAAAGTAGCGGCAGACGAGCAACGGACTCACGGGCGACTGGAGCAACGGGCTCACGGGCGACTGGCGCAACGGGCTCACGCGCGACTGGCGCAACGGTCTCACGGGCGACTGGAGCTGCTGGCTTCACGGCGGCCACCCCCTTCAACCTCCCCAAACTATCCCACTCCCCCTGACACACACCCGCTGCTACACCGCTAGCTCCACTCCCCCTTCACCCCCCCTTAGTACCACTCCAACGGCTCCAACAAGTCCACCCCCCCTCAGCGGCAGCTGCAGCACAGGGAGACGGAGGAGGAGGAGGAGCAGGGAACGGCACACAGTGGCTTCACCCCCATACCCCTCACCCCCAAACCCTAATTCAGGAGAACGGGCTGTAGGAGGGGTGGGGCGCCAGTAGAAGCACGGGGGACAGCGGGGAGGGCAGGGGCAGCGAGGAAAGGGCCGCCCACGGGCCTGGCACAGCCGCCCGAACCGCGCGCAGGCGGCCCGAGCCGCGCGCGGGCCTAGCGCAGCCCGTACGGGCCGCGCGCGGGCCTGGCGTGTCAGAACATATAGCTTACTTGTTTCTGTAGGCTATAGTGGGGTATCCCATAGGGGGTACAACCCAAATTAGGGTTTCCTATTTGTACTCACTTCGTTCATAGTCATTTCATTCTCGTTCATATCTTCTCATGGAATCAGAGCAGGTCCCTTCCTAGGGACTGCTCCTAGGGCCCACCGAAGCGCGCCCCGAGGCGCGCGTTTTTTTTTTTAGCGACCCTCCGTGTCGCCCTTACCGCCGTGCTCTCGCTTAGGCCCCTCGTCGGCCCCGCTTAGGCCCCTCGTCGGCCCCGCTTAGGCCCCTCGTCGGCCCCGCTTAGGCCCCTCGTCGGCCCCGCTTAGGCCCCTAGTCGGCCCCACTTAGGCCTCGTCGGCCCCGCGTAGGCCCCGTCGGCCCCGCTTAGGCCCCGCTTCGGCCCCGCGTCGGCCCCGCTTAGGCCCCGTCGGCCCCGCTTAGGCCCCGCTACGGCCCCTCGTCGGCCCCACTTAGGCCCTGTCGGCCCCGCTTAGCCCTCATCGGCCCCGCTTAGGCCCCGCTACGGCCCCGCGTCGGCCGTGCTTAGGCCCCGTTGGCCCGCCTAGGCCCCGCTACGGCCCCTCGTTGGCCCCGCCTAGACCCCGTCGGCCCGCTGTAGGCCCCGCTCCAGCCCGCCGTCGGCCCCGCTATAGCCCGCCGTCGGCCCCGCTACAGCCCGCCGTCGGCCCCGCTACAGCCCGCCGCCGGCCCCGCTACATCCCGCTGTCGGCCCCGCCCCAGCCCGCCGCCGGTCCCGCTACAGCCCGCCGTCGGCCCCGCTACAGCCCGCCGCCGGCCCCGCTACAGCCCGCAGTCGGCCCGCCGTCGGCCCCGCTACAGCCCGCCGTCGGCCCCGCTACAGCCCCGCTACAGCCCCGCTACGGCCCGCCGCCGGCCCCGCTACAGCCCCGCTACGGCCCGCCGTCGGCCCCGCCGCCCGTGCTGCAGCCCGCCGCGCCACCGTGCAGCCGCCCACCGTGCCGCCCGTGAGCAGCCCCAGCCGCCCGTGAGCCGCCCGTGCAGCCGCCCGCGCCGCCCGTGAGCCCCTGCGTCACCCGAGCCGCGCGAGCCGCCCGAGCCGCCCGAGCCGCCCGAGCCGCCAGTGGAGCCGCACTCCTGCTCCTGTGGGGCCACTACTGCTCCTGGGCTGTGTTACTGTGCCGCTGACCTACCCGACTTTTCCTGCCCGGTGAGACTGTCAGCTGCTGTCATGGCCACCCCCACTGTCCTAGCTTTTGACGCTGAGGGTAGAGCCATTGACTTTGCAGTCTGGATTGAAGACCTGCAGCTGTACTTACTGTGTGATGCGATAGATGAGGTCTCTCTCTTTGACTTTGTCTCTGGCGCTGTCCCTGCCCCTCCTGCTGATGCTGACCCCGCCGTTCGCTCCAAGTGGGCGACCCGCGATGCTGCTGCACGTCTTGCTGTGCACGCTACTCCTCCCCTTCCTCCGCTACGCTTAGCCGCCTCATGCTACCGTTTCTCTTCCCTGACCTCGCTGCCTTTCCCACTGTTGCTGACCTCGTTACCCACCTCCGCGCTAGTGACGCTCGCTACCGCGCTGCCCTTTTGCTGAGTTCCGCGCCGCAAACCCTCCTCCCATGTACATCACTCTCTACTTTCTCGTCACTCGTCTCCCTGAGTCCCTTCGTGTAGTTAGGGACCAGTTTCTCTCTGTCTGTCCCACCACCCTCACCGTCGACCTCCTTGAGGAGTCCCTGCTAGCGGCTGAGAAGAGCATCGTCGCTGTAGGGGCCTCTCGGGGTGACCCTCGCACCCCCATTTTTGAGGGGTGTTCTCCTTCCCCCCTGCTGCCCTCTGTCGCCTCTGCCGCTGCGGCCGACCTCGCTGGTTTTGAGTCGGTCGGTGCGGCGTCTGCCCCCAGCGGTAGACGCCGCACTGACAAGGGCAAAGGGGGCAAGGGAGCGGGTGGAGCTAGAGGGGGCGGTGGCGGGGGAGGTGGGGGTGGCGGGGGGAGTGGGGGTGGCGGTGGAGGTGGTGGCGGGAGTGGAGGTACTGGTGGAGGCGGTGGAGGCGGAGGTGGCGGCGGAGGAGGTAGCGGAGGAGGCGGGGGTGAGGGTGCCGGTGGGGGCGGTGGCGGTGGAGACGGGGGTGGCGGTGGAGGCGGGGGTGGCGGTGGCGGCGGGGGTCGGAGTGGCTCGTCTCAGCGGAGCAGCTCTGGGGGTGGTCAGCGCCAGCAGCAGCAGCCGCAGCAGCAGCCACAGCAGCAGCAGCGCTCTCGCACCGTCCCCGCCCCTCAGCAGCTCCGTGAGTGGTACTTGCAGCGTCAGCGTGGTGGTGCGCTTGGTCCCTGCCCCTACGTTCTTCGCACCGGCGACCGTGCGGGGGAGAGGTGTGGAGGCACCCACACAGCCCGCCGCTGCTTTGGCCGACTGACCGACGCCTGGCGTCAGCACTTTCCGGAGGCCGCTGAGATCCCCAGCTGGGGGGAGCTGTCTAGGGCTGGTGTAGCTATTTATGATCTTGACTTTGATGCTATTCTTTCTGCTATGTATGCTGTGACTGGTAGTGATGAGGATGACTGTTACCGGTGTTTCCCGCCCGACCCGGGCATTGGTACTGCTGCGTCAGGTACTCGTGAGGCTGCTGCTCTAGGTGCCAGTGCGTCTGTGCTCTCAGGTACTGGTGAGTCTGCCCTCTCAGGTACTGTGTCGGCTTCGGCCTCTCACACCTTCACCCTTGACTCTGGAGCGTCTCGCTCCTTCTTTCGGGACCGCACCACTCTCACGCCGCTGACTCGGCCGGTTGCGGTGTCCCTGGCTGACCCCTCTGGGGGGCCTGTCCTGTCTCGCTTCTCCACGGTCCTTCCGTGTCTGGCGGCCCCCTCTGGCACCCTGTCTGGTCTCTACCTCCCCTCGTTCTCGACGAACCTGGTGAGTGGTGCTGACCTACAGGATGCGGGTGTCCACCAGTTCACTCCTGCTCGTCAGCGGGTGACACACTGCACGGAGGCTAGCACAGGTCGCCACCTGGCTACGTTTACACGTCGGCCGGGGTCGAGCCTGTACACACTGACCACTGCTTCTCCTCCAGGTACTGAGTCTGGTAGGGTCCCTTCGTCTGGTCAGGTGTTTGCTGCAGCGTCCAGGTCTGGCCCTGAGTCTGCCCCCTGTTCATGTCGTCGTCTGTCTCACGAGACCCTCCTCTGGCACCACCGCCTTGGCCACCCCTCTCTGCTTCGGCTCAGAGGTATGGCCTCCCGTCTTCTTGTGTCTGGTCTTCCCCGGTCCCTCCCTCCCCTTCCTCAGGGCCCTGGCCCTGCCTGTGTCCCCTGTGTCGAGGGGCGCCAGCGTGCTGCCCCTCACTCCTCCCAGTTTCCTCCGACAGAGGCCCCGTTGCAGACGCTTCACATGGACGTGTGGGGCCCAGCCCGCGTCCGTGGACAGGGTCAGGAGCGATACTTCCTGCTCGTTGTTGACGACTACTCGCGTTACACCACAGTCTTTCCCTTGCGCAGCAAGGGTGAGGTCACTGAGGTGCTGATCGACTGGATCCGCGCAGCTCGTCTTCAGCTCAGGTAGAGCTTTGGCTCCGACTTTCCTGTGTTGCGTCTGCACTCGGACAGAGGCGGAGAGTTCTCCTCTGGCCTTCTACGTGCCTACTGTCGTGCGCGAGGCATCCGCTAGTCCTTCACGCTTCCGGACTCTCCGCAGCAAAATGGGATTGCTGAGCGCCGCATTGGCATGGTCATGGACGTCGCCCGTACGTCCATGATGCATGCGGCTGCCCCCCATTTTCTGTGGCCGTTTGCGGTCAGGTACGCAACGCATCAGATCAACCTCCACCCCAGGGTCTCCAGGCCGGAGACCTCCCCAGCCCTGCTGTGGACGGGGAAGGTTGGCGATGCGTCGGCATTCCGGGTCTGGGGATCTCGGGCGTTTGTCCGCGACCTGTCTGCGGACAAGCTGTCCCCTCGCGCTTCTCCCTACGTCTTCCTGGGGTTCCCCCCCGACGCCCCTGGGTGGCAGTTCTACCACCCCACCTCTCGACGTGTTCAATCCTCCCAGGACGTCACGTTCGACGAGTCGGTACCCTAATACCGCCTCTTCCCCTACCGCACTCCGTCCCTTCCCCCACCCCCGCTCTTCTTGGTACCAGGTCCCCCCCCGGTAGACCCCCTCCCCCCTCAGGGTCCTGCCCCTTCAGGTGTGTCCCAGGTAGACGCGGTCGAGCCTGTCGAGGTCACTGGTGACTCTGGTGCTCCTGCGGGTGCTGAGCCTGGGGGTGCTGAGCCTGGGGGTGCTGAGCCTGGGGGTGCTGAGCCTGGGGGTGCGGAGTCTGGGGGTGCGGAGTTTGGGGGTGCGGAGTCTGGGGGTGCTGAGCCTGGGGGTGCTGAGCCTGGGGGTGCTGAGCTTGGGGGTGCTGTGCCTGGGGGTGCTGTGCCTGGAGGTGCTTCGTCTCGCCGTGAGCCACTCTCCCCACAGGAGCTGCGTGAGTGGTTTGCCAGGCGCTGGAGGCGTGCTGCTGGTGATGGAGGTTCTTCGCCTGCAGAGGGTGCCACTGCCGCGGGTCCCGGAGGTGCTCGTCTTGGGAGTACTGGAGCTGCTGGGTCTGAGGGTTCTCCTGGAGCTGGTGCTGCTGAGGGTGTTGGCGCTGGGACTGCCGCTGGCGGTCCGCCTGGCAGTGCTCCTGGTGGTGCTGCTGGAGGTTCTGGAGCTACTGGAGGTGCTGCTGGAGGTGCTGCTGGAGCGGGTACTCCTGCTGGGGGTACTAGTGCTGTCCCTGCTGTTTCTGGCGTCGCCGCGCGGCCCCGACCGTAATTCGTTCCGCTCCTGCAGCAGGTTCTTGGTCTTACACCTTCTCCTGGTCCTCCTCCTCCTCCCTTAGAGGGTCCACGGCCTGTCCAGTCACAGCCACCGCTACAGCCTGCCTCCCCTTTGCCTGCTCCTTCTCCCTACGCTGGTCCGACTGGAGGTCTTACTGAGCGTCGTGAGCCTGCGTCTCGTCCTGCGTCGCCTGTTCGTACTGCGCGCGCTAGTGGTCGCGGGTCGCGTCAGCGTCCTCCTCCTGTCCCTGGCACGCACCGGATGTCACTGCGTCCGTCCACTGCTCCTCTGCGTGCCCCTTTGCCTTCTCCTCCTGCTTCCTCTCTTCCTGCTCTTGCCGACCCGGAGTCGGACTCTCTTCGTGCTGCCAGTCCTACTGTCACGCGTCTCCTTGCTAGTGCTGTCACTGACCCTTCGTTCGAGTCGTCTGCTGCGTCTGCCCTTGTCACTGAGCTTGTCGACTTTGCTGCGCGCTGTCGTCTAGACTACGATGCAAGTCTTGTCGCTGAGTCTGAGTCTGCCTGTCCTCCGTCCGTCGGGGGTGAGTGTGCCCTTGGCACGGACGTCCTTGAGGACAGGCAGGAGGAGTTCCAGTGTCTGGCCGCCGCTTCACCTCATCTCGCGTCTGTACTGCTAGCCCCTGAGGGAGACCCGGATGCACCAGACATCCCGACTCCGCGCTCTTATGCGGAGGCGATAGAGGGTCCCTACTCCTCTCAGTGGCAGGCAGCTATGGATGCAGAGATGGCTTCCTGGAAGTCCACAGGCACCTACGTTGACGCTGTTCCCCCTCCTGGGGCGAACATAGTCAGTGGCATGTGGATTTTGCAGGGTGAAGCGGCCGCCGGGTTCTCCGCCTGTCTTCAAGGCGCGTTACGTGGCTCGTGGCTTCAGTCAGCGGCAGGGGGTTGACTAATTTCAGACCTTCTCCCCCACCCCGAAGATGACCACTCTTCGGGTTCTACTGCACGTTGCTGCTCACCGTGACTACGAGCTGCACTCTCTCGACTTCAGCACAGCTTTCTTGCAGGGCAGCCTGCACGAGGAGATCTGGCTGCGTCGCCCACCTGGCTTCACTGGGTCTTTCCCTCCTGGTACCCAGTGGAGTCTCCGGCGTCCAGTCTACAGTCTCCGCCAGGCGCCACGTGAGTGGCACGACACACTGAGGACTACGCTCGCGGCACTTGGGTTTGCTCCTTCTACTGCCGACCCGTCGCTGTTTCTGCGCACCGACACCTCGCTGCCGCCGTTCTACATCCTCGTGTACGTCGACGACTTGGTCTTTGCCACAGCTGACACTGCTGGACTCGCCTACGTGAAGTCCGAGCTGCAGAAGAGACACACGTGCACTGACCTGGGTGAACTGCGTAGCTACCTTGGCTTGCAGATCACCCGGGACAGAGCACGCCGCACCATTACCCTAACTCAGTCACACATGGTGCAGCAGGTCCTTCAGCGCTTCGGCTTCACGTACTCCTCGCCTCAGGCCACTCCTCTGCCTACTCGCCACTCGCTCTCAGCTCTGCCTTCGGATGAGTCCGTAGAGTCGAGTGGCCCGTTTGCAGAGCTTGTTGGCTGCCTCATGTACCTGATGACCTGCACACGACCTGACCTTGCATACCCTCTTAGCATTCTCGCACGCTATGTTGCTCCTGGGAGACACCGACCAGAGCACATGGCTGCAGCGAAGAGGGTGTTGCGCTACTTGTGCAGTACGTCGGGCATGGGGCTAGTGCTTGGAGGGCGCAGTCCAGTGGTCCTCACTGGGCACGCAGACGCTTCTTGGGCTGACGACCAGGCTACGCAGCGGTCGTCACAGGGTTACACCTTCAGCCTTGATTTCGGCTCTGTTTCGTGGCGGGCTACCCGCTCGTCTTCTGTTCTCGGCTCCAGTTGTGAGGCTGAGATCTACGCTGGGGCTATGGCTGCACAGGAGTTACGCTGGCTCACCTACCTGCTGACCGACCTTGGAGAGCAGCCTCGTTCTTCTCCAGTCCTGTACGTAGACAACAAGGCCATGCTGGCCTTGTGTCGAGAGCAGCGACTGGAGCACAGAACGAAGCACATTGCTCTCCGCTACTTTCTTGCTCGTGAGCTACAGCAGCGTGGACAGTTGCGACTTGCGTACGTGGCCTCTGAGGCCAACACTGCTGATGTCTTCACCAAGGCACTTGCGCCTTGTGATCATCAGCGTTGTTGCACGCAGTTAATTCTTGTGCCTGTCTTGCCTCACTTGCTCTCCTCTTGACCTTGCTTGTACCTTCGCCTATATATACTCTTGCTCTTGCTTGCTTGACTCTTGTATATCTCTATATATGATCTTGCATGTGAACTGGCCTTCTGGCCTTTGAACTTGTGCTCGGAATGCGTGGTGACTTTGTGATCCACCCTGAGCTTTGCTTTGCTTTGCTTGACTGGTCTTGTGACCCCTTGTTCTCCCCACTTTGCCTATGGGGGTGTGTCAGAACATATAGCTTACTTGTTTCTGTAGGCTATAGTGGGGTATCCCATAGGGGGTACAACCCAAATTAGGGTTTCCTATTTGTACTCACTTCGTTCATAGTCATTTCATTCTCGTTCATATCTTCTCATGGCACAGCCCGTACGGGCCGCGCGCTGGCCTGGCGCAGCCCGTACGGGCCGCGTCCGGGCCTGGCGCAGCCCTTACGGGTCGCACGCAGCCTGTACGGGCCGCGCACGGGCCACGACGGGCGACGGGGGGCGGCGCGCGGGTCCCCGTCGCCCGTCGCAGCGCCTCCCGAGGGCGACACGCCGAGTGACGGGGCAGAAGCCCGCCGCGCGCCTCGGGGCGCACAGTGGGCAGAGAACCGCCGCGCGCCACGGGGCGCACGGCGGGCAGAAAACCGCCGCGCGCCTCGGGGCGCATGGCGGGAAGAAAAACTGCCGCACGCCACGGGGCGTGCGGCACAGAGAGTAGCAGTGGAAGTTGCAGCGGAAGCAACGAGGTGGTGAGCCCACCCACAGGATCGATCCAAGGGGATCGACCTGCTCTGATAGCATGTGAAAGTTTAATAGGAAGAAGGGGGTTGCACTAACAAGAATGAGGATACAAATAGCAAACCCTAGAAGGGTTGTACTCGCTATAGAGCACCCCACTACAGGCTAGAGCATAATATTCTGACAGCCCGTGCGCGCCCTGCCTTGCCTGCGTTGCGCTGCCCGCGCGCGCCTCTGCCTTGCCTGCGCTGCGCTGCTCGCGCGCGCTGCTCTAGTCCCGCGCGTGCCGCTTCAGCAGCTTGCGCGCCCTGCCCTGCCCTGTTCTGCAGCTCGCGCGTCGCCCGCCTACTGCCCGCGCGTCGCCCAATAGCAGCCCGCTCAGCCCGCGCTCTGCCTCTGCCCGTGCGTCAACCCCCTGCAGCTCGCACGTCGCCCGCTTCCTGCCCACGCGTCGCCCGCTAGCAGCCCGCGCGGCCCGCACTTTGCCTCTGCGTGCCCGCGCGCTGCCACTGCAGGCCTGTAAGGCGCCCGCGCCGCCCTCGCCGCCCGCATGCAGCCGTCGCCTAATCGCTCGCAGCCCCTGCTGGCCAGCGCGCCGCCTTCGCCGCCCGTTCGCGGCCTCTGCCCACCCGCGCGCTGCCCCTTACCCGCGCGCTACCCCTTACCTGCGCGCGCGCTGCCTATGCCAGCCAGCGCACCGCCCACCTGCAGCCCGCGCTCTGCCTTTGCTGATCCGTGCGCCGCCACTGCAGCCCTGCGCGCCGCTTCTCCTGGCCTGCTCTCTGCCCTGCAGTCCGTGCTCTGCTTTGCCGCCTGCGCGCTACTCTCACCTGCGCTGCACTCATGGCGACTCTCAATGTCCTCGCTTTCGATCCTGACGGTCGCCCGATAGAGTTTGCCACTTGGCTCGACGACCTGCAACTGTTTCTTATGACTGATGCCAAAGACGGAGTTTCACTGTTCGATTACGCGTCTGGCACTTTCGTTGCTCCTGCTGACACTGCTGCCGCTCTCGACCACTCACAGTGGCAGACTCGTGATGCTACTACGCGCCTCGCTATTCGCAACTATCTGCCAATCACTGAGCGCGCGCACTTTAGTCAGCACAAGACTGCCAAGGCACTGTATGAGGCTGTAGTTGCTCGCTACTCTTCCCCAGCCACTGCACCCATAGGCCGTCTTATGCTACCCTACCTGTTCCCCGACCTGTCCTCGTTTACCACTGCTGAGGACCTCATCTCTCACCTGCGCTCTAGTGACGCTCGCTTTCGTGCCGCCCTTTCAGACGAGTTCCTCGCCGAGAATCACCCCCCGATGTACTTTACCCTCTACTTCCTCGTCACCCGCCTCCCTGACACTCTTCGCTCAGTCAGGGACCACTTTCTAGCCCTAGACCCTACCACTCTCACTGTCGCCGACTTCGAGAAGCACCTCCTC